AGTCATATCATAATTGCTTGGGTAGTCGTATCACGTTATAATCTATGTTGTACAAGCACATTATGCCCAGGCAGTTATATCATAGTGCCCGGGCAGTCATACCATAATATAATCTATAGTGCCCGGGCAGTCATACCATAATATAATATATGTCGTACTTATATATTGTGCTCAGATAATATTATCGTAGTATAATCTATGTTGTACATAGACATCGTGCCCAGGTTGTCATATCATAGCATAATCTTTGTCGTACATAGACATCGTGCCCAGGTTGTCATATCATAGCATAATCTATGTCGTACATAGACATCGTGCCCAGGTTGTCATATCATAGCATAATCTATGTCGTACATAGACATCGTGCCCAGGTTGTCGTATCATATCATAAACTATATCGTACATAGACATTTTGCCCAGGTAGTCCTATCAGCCTACAATAGACTGTTTTCGCTCGGTAAACGATGTTATTCTCCATGGATACGACATGTCACTCATAATTCGATGTGTTTGTTCTTTATTTTAATTCCGTGTTTAATTTACAATTTATTGTACCTTGCAAGGAGACGATTGATATTCGCAAATGAAATGGAATATCCGCGGATATCTCATTCATATATTTACTTTAGCTATACCGGCGAACACCACACCGTACTGTTATCAGAAGCTGTTTAGTGCAGCGAATTATGTTGAGGGAGATAAATAACAGTTGTGTTAAGTACTCGAGATTTATGTGTTTGAGAAACAGTCAGCAAATCACCAAGTTATGGTTTTTTTATATAAATTTTTGTTGCTTCTTTTAAAGCCAGACAGCTTTGAATTCCGTTTTATTTCTTTCCTATTTCTTTTCAAGATAACAATTTTTAAAAAATCTGCAACATTGCAGTGCCATGCATGTTTATTAGAAGTAAATAAAAAAACATAATGACATGAAAAAAAACAATTGTAGCTGCAAAACCATCAATATAAACTAGAATTACAGTTAGGAAAATAAAATAAACGTCCGAGAATATTGTTCTTTACACATAAAAGATTCAGAGAGAGCATGTAAGGGGTAAGACAAAGGACTACACACTGTAGTTGAGCGCCCTTGCCGTACACAGCGTCTATAACCCTAACACATGTATACATATTCAAATGCTTGGGTCCAGATAGTCAACCATGATTGGACGATAGAGTAAGTACCGTTGAAAAAATCTAACCCTCAGCATTCTCATGTTTACTATTTAGAGAAAGGATCTCTTAAATCTATATTATATACATTTCTATTCTTGTATCTATTGACAGGTCGGAGATGCATTTCCACTTTGTGTGACTGTTAATTGTGACCTAACGACCACCATGATGACTGGACGAAAAATACAGCTGACAAAAGGCACAAGACTCTGGGTGCTCCACATTGTGAAGGATAATTCAAACGACGAACAGTACTTAAGTTGTTTTACTGGAGACAAAATTATTTCTTTGCCGTTTGGTTGCGCAGGAAAGTTTGTGGCGACTCCAGTTTATTTAAGGGATTTGGAGAACTGTAGACTTCCAAAAACTGTCCAAATGGAAAATAAAGTCCAATTTTCAGACATATTGTCGGAGTCGGAGAATGAAGCAAGGTTTCTGTTGGATTCTGGGACAACGCCAATTGAAGTAATATCGTTCAAGAAAACATCAGTCTATTTAGGGTTTGTAACACAACTGAACACTTTAAATGGCAAACACATCCTTGTCATTCCTGATGATTTTCAGCAACTGGACTTGGAACTTGTAAATTTATTGACATCTTCCAGTCCGAGCATTCTCAAAGAAATAAATGATTACTTCTTTTCCTGGACAGACGGAATTGACCTTGAGTGTATACATGACAAACTATTTTGCGTTGACAATGACCCATGCTTTATCTACCTAAAGTATATATCACAAGATAAAGGCTATACATGTCTGACAGAAGGTAAGCAATTTATTTAATTTCTATTTTATTTTGACCCTAAATTGTTATTATTTTAAGCGGATACCTGATATAGTTAAAGATATTGCATCAAGGATATGCAGTCTTATTAACAAACCCTAGCACTTTCGTGAAATTACTAGAGTATCTATTTTGGTCGAGTAGGATAGTGTCACCCCCAATAAAACCACACAACCCCCGAAACAAGGAATCGATTACACTCATGGAAATGATAACATCTTGCATTTTAGTTCTTTTTTTTTAAGGTCAAATGACATTCGCTGGGTCAGAGCAATCGTTGCAGAAAGACACAGCCACGCCAGTGTATGCAAATGACTTGTTATTCCAGACGAAAAACATAGATAACGTAGCAGCTGGAGAAACAGTTGATGCAGATAGAACTTCACCAATACCTGATCTGCCTCCGAGGAAACCTCGAAAGATAAATGAGCCTACAAAACACCCTTTTGAACTTCAGGCAGCGTCACAACAGATAGTATCAATATCAACAGACAAAACAAGTCCTAAAGAGGATGCAAAACAAATATCTACGAGTTCTATAAAGGACACGAATAACTCAGGCTCCGTTAGGCCAAAAAGTGATGGTGACTTCGATGACTATTTGACTCCAATAAGTTCTCAAAGAAATCCTAGTGTGAACAAATCTGACAACTGAGTTGAAAACGCATATAGTACATCTTCAAATCTCTTCTTTGATTATAGTGTAGAAGAAGTATCGGCATGCTTCCGGCGAAGTGATTGGACAAAGTTGGGGACATGTTCTACGGAAAAACTTGTTGGCATATTCTTCAAAGATTTAACGACAAAATAGTTTCAGTCCTAGCCGTTTTGCTTATCTCCCTTTCAAAAAAAGAAACTTGTTAAAATAGTCGTCAACGGATGGAGACAAAAGTGAATAAAATTACGCAAAATCAGTCAATTCCAATTGTCTCATTTCCGGTTGTACCAAGAAGTACTCTAGCTCGCTCTTAAAACTGACAAGTAGTAGAATCAAAATAGAAAAATATAGACACTGTGTCCACAAGTTGCTTCATGAATTCATAATCCGTGATAACAAAATGTAGATAACATTGATGTAAATGTACAAAACGTATACATAATTTGAAAAATGAAAATCTGCAAGTTGACGCAAAGACATAAAATAATTTTGCAGATCTATGCAAGAGCAGTTAATTGTGCGATATATATATATATATATATATATATATATATATATATATATATATATATATATATATATATATATATATATATATATATATATATATATATATATATTAAGAACTACATTCCTTTTCCAATAACAATGCTAATAATGATAGTGTAAAAACATGAAACAACGTCCGAAAATCAAGATTTTTTTATTGAAAATGTATGACATGAGATACACAACTACTGACTTACTTATCAAGTCGATCATAAAAGCTGGAGTCGTCCAAAGACTTAAGAATTAGTTCAGACATCAACAATAAAGGGAGAATACGACACTGGGGTTTACCAGCTATGGTGTTATGCCTAACTCAACAAACCAAAATACTATGCACTATTAAGAACTACATTCCTTTCCAAAAAAAAAATAATAATAATGCTGATAATGTAAAAACGTGAAACAACTCCCGAAAAGCATGATAGTGGTAAAATTAGCTAACAGTAAATTTCTAAACTTTTTTAAAATAAAGACCAAAATGTTTTAATTATATTGTTTCAAAGAAATTATAATGCATTTCATTATTAATACCGTAATGGTATTGTGAATGGAGTTTTGCATGCAAAAACATTGTCCAGTTAATGTGTGAAAATTATTTGCTGTTAAACGTAGAGATGTGAGATGATGTCGACCTACGAGACTTTGGCATATCTGATCATGTGATTTTTAATTGTCACTAAAAACAGCTACCATTTATGACTTATTTCTTCCATTCCTGAACGTATGCCACCTACCCTCCAATGTTTAGATCTCTCTCTCTCTCTCTCTCTCTCTCTCTCTCTCGTCTTGCATTATAAAGCAGAATTCTCAAACTTTTCTTCAGTTTGAGGAAAAATAAAAGAAGCAAGTGATTTAAAAAGAAGAGTTGTTTTCCTTTGCAATGTGCGTTCGTCCTTACTTGCATACATGCCTAAATACATATAATGTGCACACATACAACAATAAAACTTCAAACACACTTAATAGTGTGTGAGTTACATCCCATCTGATCAAACATTCACGCTCAACACAAATTGGAAATATCATCGAGCCATGCGTAAAAAATCTAACGCTGGTGAGAAGAGGCGAATGTGCAAATGAGTGGGTGGGTGGGTGTATTTGTTCTAGTGTTTGTGTGTATGTTCGTGTGTGTGCGTGAGCACGTGCGTGTGTGTGTGTGTTAGGGAGATTTTGATTTTCGTTTTGCTCAAACGAATGGCGTTCCATTGACGTGTAATGCTATCACGTGTCCTTCCCATAATTTACTTTCGTAAAATATTTATTACTTCAGATCACCCTTGAGACGTCTTAATTAGCAGTTATTCCCATAGAGGCAACTGAATTAAATGAAAATAAATTATGCTGAAAATAAATTATTTACCTCTCTCTCGCGCGCGCGTGCACACGAAACTGAGATCATATTTTTATCTTCGAAATGGGGACATAATTATCATATCTTGCGCATGTATCGACGGTAAACAATTGATAGTGGTAAAATTAGCTAACAGTAAATATCTAAATTTTTTTTAAAATTAAGACCAAAATGTTTTAATTATTTTGTATAAAAGAAATTATAATGCCAAACATTTCATCATTAAGCAAAATTGTAACTGATTCTAGGAACGAAATTCTGGGTAACAAAGAATTATTCTAACATACCTGCGTTGCAAACTCTATTAAGCCACAAGTTACCGGAATCACAAAAAGTAAAAAAACAAATCAATGTCCTTTTTTAAATCTTTGCTCAAAACTCCCATTTATGCATCAAGGTTGAGTGTATGCAGTTGACCCGGTTTCGTGTGAATCACGTTAAGGTTGTATGTGTATAAATATTATGATCTAGTAACCACTCCGGTGGCCTAGTGGTTAGAGCGTCCGCCTCAAAAGCGGGAGGTCGTGGGATCACACACACACACACACACACACACACACACACACACATACATACATACATACATACATACATACATACATACATACATACATACATACATACATACATGCATGCATGCATACATATACATACATACGTACATACATACAAATTAATATAATGATTAAATATTGTTTTTTGTATAATTTTAACATTTTTTTGTGACTGGAAGTTTTCGGTATTATGTTTTCTTACTGATACAAATGTTTCAATGCTAAGTTTTATCTGCCCTATTTTATCACCTTTATTCAAACAAAGCTAACAATCAATAACAATAATATAAAGAAAAACATTGCGAAGTTTTTGTCTTGTCTATCTTCCTCGAATTCTCTCATAACAAGGGTAATGTACTTGAACAAAAAAGTAACATAAGAAGAACGTGCTATGTTAAGTAACCTATATATATAAATGTATGCACACATACTTATACATACACAGATGTACACACACGCACATAAACATACATTCTTACATGCATTTATTAGGATATCAATTTTGGGTAGAGAAATTAAAAGGTGTGTAGGACTATGTTGTTCCTTACAAATTGAGATTAGTTACAAAATTAAATAGCTTGGGGGGACCCCGAGTGGCCAAGTGGTCTAAAGCGCTGTCCGTTACGGATCACTGCCATCACCTCTGTCTGCGTGTGTTCGAATCTAGGATTCGACGATTGTGGATATGTGAGAAAGCTTGCCAGTAGCTTCTCGTGGGTCGGTGGTTCTTTCCGGTGATTTACCGGTTTCTTCCTCCACCATTAATACTGGCCGCCATGAATAGCCTATCGTGTGCTGAAAAATGGCGTTAAGCCCAATAACAACAACAAATAACTTGGTTCAATATTTCATGGCTTGGATGAAGCTGCTTTTCACAAATGTAATCTTAAATACAGTAATCTGGTTCAGAGTTCATAACAATAAACGATCTACTCGCTTTTTTTTCAACTGTAACAAAATTAATCAGCCGAACGAATCCGGTCTTGTTTTCTTTTCAACTATTACAAAATTAATAATCCAAGTTAGGAGTGGTAATCCAGGTCACGAATGGAACAAAAGCGATTTATCAAAATTAGTCATAGTCCAAGTTACGAGTAGTAATCCATGTTGTGAGTGGAACAAAAGCAATAGCCTCTTTACAATAAGGAAAGGGTATAAACAACACCTGACAAAAAGGTAATCCGTTCACGAGATTAGCCGTCATTAGGATAGACCCTCTGATTTGGACGAGTAGATGTGCCACGTAATCTCGGGATATAAAAAGACCGAGCCTATCTGAATCTTCAGTTGTTAGTCCCAGATCAGAGAAGAATGTATGTCTATATTTACAGGTCAGAATTTCCTATTGTTTTTACAGAATTTTGTAGTAACTTGTAGTCGCAATATTTTTGTGAGTTCTCTTTTTATGTACTATTATAATGTAATTAAATATTTAATTGTTTTTATGTTCATTTGTATTTGTATGAATTTACTAACTTCATAGTATTCTTTAGATAATTCAGTATAATGTCCAGTGATCTTTTGCAGGTTGTTATTCTAAATTATATGAAACAAAATATATTCCTTGAAAAGATTATAGCATCAGTCGTAATTATTGAATTTTAGGCTTCAAACAATATTTAATCACTAGCATCGCATTCTAAAATGCATGGAACTTTACAAGCATATAAAGTAGTAGATCACAGAGAAATTATTCAATATGTATTGTAATATGTATTGTATGCATAAGTGTATCTTTAGAATATATATATATATATATATATATATATATATATATATATATATATATATATATATATATATATATATATATATATATATATATATATATATATATATATATATATATATATATATATATATATATAAGTTGTTATTCCCAGATCAGAGAAGAGTGTCTGTTTATATTTGCAGCGATCTCCGCTACCTCTCGTTATCAGAGCTTCCCCAAAAGATGTAGCTGTATCGACACCATTACGCATGACACTTTGTCTTTGAGAGAGTCCGAATTCCCCCCTTTTCTCTCTATCTTCCGTTCTAGCCACTGAGTAAAACATTGCTAAGTGTTTACGAAAACAGATTTTTCAGATTCGTCAACATTCGTGATAAATAATAATCGTAAAAGTCTATAAAGAATCATTTTCGTAAAACATTCATACATGGACATAATACAAAGTCTGTATAAAACATGTTAATGGTTGACCTGCATAATACCACCAGAACACGTTTGTTCAGACGCATGCGTGCCCTTAAATACAAACTCTTTCAGGAAAAGACACAAAAAGTTTCATCAATACGTAAATAGTATTCACGTTTGCCTAAATAATGTCCTAAGAACATTTTACATATATACATGGATGCATATTTACATGTATGTACCTACATAAATGAAATTTTATAGACAGTAATACAATCATTAACCAATGAAATGGAGATGAAATCAAAGTAACAGTGAACTTAATACAAAAATAAGTATAAGTAATAACAAATTAATAACATCATGTGTAATCTCGATGTAATTTTATTATTATTATTATTATTATTATTATTATTATTATTATTATTATTATTATTATTATTATTATTATTATTATTATTATTATCATCATTAGTATTATTATGATTACGTTTAATTTGTGCCCTATGACCATAATTTCTGGGGTTTTTTTTAACTTCTGTGGATTTTAGAGAAATCAATAACCTAATAAATTTCAACATTCTTGGCCTTTCCAAGCTATATTTGACAGTGACATTCTAATACAAATGACATTTGACATTCTAATACAATTGACATCGACATTCTAATACAATTAACATTTGACATTCTAATACAATTGACATTTGACATTCTAATACAATTGACATTTGACATTCTAATACAATTGACATTTGACATTCTAATACAATTGACATTCTAATATAAAATGATACTCATCATCCAAAACGTTGCCAAAAAGAAAGAAAAAACGCAAGCCCTTTGATCTAGTGTCTAGTGCTCGGGTGGGCAAACATTTTATACGAAGGGCTTAATTGAAAACTTTATTGTTATGGGTGGGTGGGTGCATATATATTTTGTCTACTTCAATTACAATTTGCAATGGATGAAAATTTGAATTATTGATAACAACCATGTATTTGTCATTTTATTTCGCAATCACACTGTATTACACATGCACATTATATTTTAAAATGCTAACTTAAAACAGTTTCTAATTTGGTAATAAGATTTTACTATTCATTATTATTTCAACAGAGGTTTATTGTTACCTATCATAATAATTATGAAGAAGAAGGAATTTAATTTACATACAATCTGACCACATAGTACAATTATAATTAATGAGAAGTATGTTGCTATTCACTATTTTGCATAATGTTCTTGAACTGTGGAACCAGTTTACTGGTTGTGATTCGCATGACTGGATTCAAATTTCAGTCACCATCGACCTGTTCTTAGACTTGTTGATTTTCAGACAAGACAAAGCTTGCTCACAGATGTCTGGGGACCCAAATAGTGAAAAAAGTTGGGCAGCAAAGGTTTTTAATGTGGAATTGCTGCTGATGACAAAGATCCATAAAACTCCAGCATAGGAACTGACCTGAACTTCTCCTTCAGGTCATGATCTGCTTGTAGGTCGAGCAGCTCCAACTGTATATCCTCTGGGGCGGAATCAGCTTCTGCACTAAATGGTGAACTAAGGATATTGAAAAGTGGTTCCAAGTTCTTGAAGTCTTGGAACCTCCTTTCAAATTCCACAACCAAGGCATCTAACTGAGCCCTGTACCTGTCAGCCATTTCAACAGAAATGTTTTTCTGTTTCAGCAAAGGGAAATGGCAAAACCTGCTTGCATGGAGAGTTTTGCCTGAAATGATTTAACATGCACATACATTTCATGTGCAAACAAGCCATTGACCTGTAGTTTGACATTCAGATCATTCAACTTTACCATAATGTCAATGGCAAACATGAAGTCTGACTTCCACTCTTCATTAACAATGTTAGTAACAAAGTCACAATCAGTACCCTTCATCTCTAGGAACATAACTATTTCTTCCTTAAGATCCCACACTCCCCACACTCGCCTCAATATCTTGCCCAGGCTCAGCCAGCTGACACTGCTGTGGTAGATAATATCAGAATGTTCAGTTTCCAAATCTTCGGGGACCTCGAGTGGCCGAGTGGTCTAAAGCGCTCTCCGTTACGGATCACTGCCATCTCACCTCTGTCTGCGTGGGTTCGAGTCTAGGATTCGGCGAATGTGGATATGTGAGAAAGCTTGCCAGTAGCTTCTCGTGGGTCGGTGGTTCTTTCCGGTGATTTCCCGGTTTCTTCCTCCACCATTAATACTAGCCGCCATGAATAGCCTATCGTGTGCTGAAAAATGGCGTTAAGCCCATCAACATCTACAACAGTTTCCAAATCTTCAAGCATTACCTTGATCTGCCTGTGGTTAAGTGCCCTGACTCTGATGAGGTTTGTCACACTGACCACTGGGTCAATAACATTCTTGATATTCAACGCAGCTTTACACACACTTTCCTGATGGATGACACAGTGAAGAGGTAGGAGTGTGTGGTCAGGGTGTTCTTTAATTTTATTATTCATCAACTTCACCAGACCTACATTTTTCCAAGTCAAAGCATGTGCTCTATCGGTTGTTTCACTTGCTATCTTATTCGACACCAACACAGTTCATTCGACACAGGTCACAACAGCACTGAATAAATCCTGGCCTGTGGTTGTGTCTTTGAGTGACTCAACACTAAGTAATTCCTCGGTAAGCTCGAAACAGGTGTTTATTCCCTGTATAAATACCAATTGTGCTGTGTCCTGTACATCAGTACTTTCGTCCAACGCAAGAAAGTACCACAAACAATTCTTTGCTTTCGTCTCGAAGTTGGTGCATCAAATTGTCACTTATCTTTTCAGCATGCCTGACTGCAGTTTTCCTTGATAAAGAAATGCTGTCAAATTTTGTTTTCTGTTCTGGA